TTTATTTATTTATTTTTACTTTGAAGTTTTGTATGCGATTCTCCCGTTCCTGGTGAACTCTGCTATAACTACACTGTTCCAAAAAATAGTAATGTCACAGCATCTTACTGTATATTTTACAGTTTTGTCTTTCTAGAATATCATTACATTTACATAAGTAGACTGTGACTTTACATGTCAAAGGTAAAATAACATCACTGTAAATATAGTAAAACACAATTTACTTGTTTTTTAAATATATTTTTTGTACATGTGCATATTTAGGTCGCGGGTATGGCTGCACTGTAGGAAAATCCTAATATAAAAGTATTTTACTGCATTTTACAGTTTTGCTCTGTTCTTCTAGAACATCAAAGTTACGTAAATAGACTGACTTCACATTTCAAATGTAAATTAACCTTAAATCACTGTAATGTAATAAAACATAATCGTCATGATTGTTAAATGTCTGTACATATGCATATTTAGATACAGATTCACAAATGTATCACGATCTCACAAATATCTGTCCGTTATTTGAAAGATTGAACTGTTGAATTCAAATGTAATGCTATGGAAAAGTATATAACATGATCCCTATAAGCTTGTGTTACATCACATAAGTATTATAATCATTGCTGTTTAGGCCGTTCGTGGCTCAAGACTTGGCACTTCGTCTTGTGGTCAGAAGGTTGCCGGTTCGAGCCCCGGCTCGGATGCTCTCGGCCGTTGTCAAGACTCTTCACCTGGTGGTGGCCAGAAGGGCTGGTGGTGCGATATGGCAGCCTCGGGTCTGTCGGTCTGTCCCAGGGCATGCAATCCATTATTATTTAAGTTAACTGTATATTTCTGTACCTTTAAGTATTATGATTCATATTGCCACATTCAGTGACCTTGTTTATAGGTAATTTCATTGTTTGATCACGTTAAAATGTTCCTAATTTAATTTCTAAAAGCACTTGGAAAAGGCAGAATCCCATGTAAAATTAGCACAACAAACTGTATTGTCATTGCTGGAAATAACCGTATTTTTATGAGGAAGTTATTTTCTGATATTTTACGGTAGTATTTTGGCGCCCCAGCTGCTGGAATATTACTGTTTTTTTAAGATGTTTTTTTAACAGTGTATAACTGCTATTCAACTCAACATTTGGCAAGTGGGATACGTCATCTTCTTCTCCTGCAGTCAAGATCGTGTGAACAACACGAGAGGCTAACTTCATGCCAGTTGTGGGAGTTGCCATCAAGGGTGAGATTTATCAAAAATATGCTCCGTTCCCCCTGCTGTTCTTCTTAGGCCAGATCACTAACAGGACTGGCTGCAGATGGGGTGATGGAGCAGCTGTAGCTCAGGAGGTAGAGCAGGTCATCTACCAATCACAAGGTTTGATGGTTTGATCCTGGCTGCTCCAGTCAGCATGCCAAATATCCTTGGGCACAATACCAAAGTTGCTCTCTGGTGCTTTCGACTTGAGTATGAACGTGTGTGAAAGCTAGACAGAAGAAATGAAACCTGCCTCTATGAGTGGGTAAATGAGGCATGTTGCACTGTGAGTGCTCCTGGAGAGTCCTTTGAAGGTAGCTCGTCTCATGTGTTACGTTCAGCTTTGCATCCTGTGTTGTGTTAATTAGTCCCACACCGTGAAAAAAAAATAGTAAAAAAACAGTAATATTCCAGCAGCTGGGGCGCCAAAATAAT